AATCAATGGAAAAGGTATCCTCAGGTGAGGATTTTTAAAAAGACACATATAAAATAATAGTTCAAAATGTGAAAGCCACCCTTTATCCCTCCCTTTTGTGTGTCTAATTTTTAGAGTTTACTATTTTTATGCTTTAGTAGATGCTGTGGTGTGCTGCTTAGATACTCCTTATCCCAGAGTGCTCATTCCCAGTATCTCACAGAGGTAAGGAGGCAGTATCTAGGCTAAGAGCCGAAATATGCCTTTGCTTGCCTCTGTGCTCATGGCTGGGGGAAAAAAATCAACTGAAGAAATATTTTATTATAGATACCAGAATTAGAATGGGGCAACCTGAATATTTGAGATGCTGATGGGGAACTGCTGTCTATATATTTAAAGATTGCCAATCAGAAGTCAACAGTAGAGAAAAAGAAAGCAAGGTATAGTAGATCAAGTTACAGAGTCTGCTGAGCTGTGCCACTTAGCTATGTGACTTCAAGAAAGTTAATTCAAGTCCTCTGAACATTGATTTCTTCATGGTTAAAACAAGGATGGTAATATTTACTACCCTGCAGAGTCATTATGAGAATTAAGACTAAGATATTTTAAAGTATCTACCCTGGCAGAAAGAGGGTATTCAGTATATTATTATTATAGGTTCTGCTGGCCTATTTGAGACCCAAATAGGGGATGAAAGGATAGAGAAGAAGAAGAAAGGAGAAATAAAAATACTAAGAGAATACAGAAGAGAAGTAAGACTATTAATGAGAAATAGAATACAACTAGTAATTGCCATTGTAATCTAGAATATTAACCCAACTCTGCAGTTAGTAATAACTTTAATTTTAACTATCATGGTAAAAGGCTTTAATGCTGCTAACTTAAATGTATTTAGTTTGTTGAAAGATGTTTTTATATGTGGTCCACCCTTGACTGATAGCATGTTTATGGCTTGAAGAGATCTGGGCCAGACATGGGCTAAGTTATTTATTACCAACTATGAAAACAAAGGGGATTGGCCAATTTGGGTTGTGTAGCAAAGGGGTGAATTAAGTTACTTGCAAGTGAATTGGTGTTTGTTTATCCTTGCATAATATATAATACTTGCCTCCATTAGGGAATTGATAACAACGCTAGTCTGTACTTCAGTTAAAGAGGAAGAGGGAATTAAATAAGGGAATGAAATGTTTGGCCTAGTTTTTCTTCCCTAATTAGACTTCTAATGTCTATATCTATATCTATCTATCTATCTATCTATCTATCTATGGCTAAGTGACCGTCCGACTTGTAGCAATGATGCGCACTGACCACCAGCGGGCAGACACTCAATGCAGGAGCTGCCGAGCTCTGGAGGGAGCCCGATTCCAGGGTGTATCACCCAAGAACCACCCTCTTGCACTCTGGGACCCCTTGGGGGATGTCAAGAGCCGGTTTCAGCCTGATCCCCATGGGCCAGACCAAGGGACCCCACCTGCCAGAGGGACCCCGATCACTCCGCAGACACCCTTCGAGCCGCAATGCTGCCCCGGTGTGGCCAGCCAGGGAGGAAATGCAGGAGGTTGGCTCCAGGGCATGTCCAGCCCATCTAGCCCAGTCCCACCCCACCAGCCACCTTCTAATTAATTGCCTTTCAATGTGCACGAATTCATGCACCAGGGCACTAGTATTGTAGATAAAATAGTTATTGGGAATCTACATGATTCAAAATAAAGCAATATTTTTACATTTGCTTAAATATCTTTTTTTTTTTTTTCAAGATTGACATCTGGTCCTGAGAACACACTTTTCCACTATGTTGCTTTAGAAACAGTGCAAGGGATCTTTATTACTCCTACCCATGAAGAAGTGGCCCAGCTAAGCGGCTCTATCCACCCTCAGCTAATAAAGAATTTCCATCAGTGTTGTCTCTCCATTCGTGCAGTTTTTCAACAGACCTTGATGGAAGAGGTAGGGCACTGCTATGAATAAAGTTTTATGCCAGTTTCATTTCTATAACTCTAAATATTCTCTCTAAAAGCTCTTTAATTAATATGTCCAGCTATGGAAATTCTCAAAGCAAGAAACAGTGGCTTCTGTAATCTGGATGTATTCTGGAGGGTAAGCTAGAAGGGTTTGTTGATAGATTAAATAAGGTTTATAAGAGAAAAGAACCAAGGATCACTCCACTATTTTGACCTGAGCCTCACAAAAAAATATTTATATTTCACATAAGTCATTGCTTTGCTAATGATTTTATCAATGGGAAATTTAGAGAGATACATCTGTTTTAAGTTTAATGTATTTTAAGTATATTATAAAATCATCTGTTTATTTACTAATCTACCAGTAATTTACTCATTATTAATACATTCATTAAGTACCTACTATATACCAACAACTTTAAAAAAAAATAATACAGCTCTAGATGATTTAGCTCAGTGGATAGAGCTTCAGCCTGCGGACTGAAGGGTCCTGGGTTCTGTTCCAGGCAAGGGTATGTACCTTGGATGTAGAATCCTCCCTGGCCCAGTCCCTGGTCAGGGCATGTGCAGGAGGCAACCAATCAATGTGTTTCTCTTACATTGATGTTTCTCTCTGTCCTTCCCTCTCTCTTCCACTCTCCCTAAAAATCAGTGGAAAAATATCCTCGGGTGAGGATTGTTTTTTTAAAAAAAATACACAAAGATGCCCTGGCTGGTTGCTAGTGGTTAGAGAGCTTCAGCCTGTGGGCTGAAGGGTCTTGGATTTGATTACCGGTCAAGAGCATGTACCTGAGTTGCAAGTTCAATCCCCTACCAGGTTAGAGTCCATGTGGGAGGCAGCCAATCGATGTGTCTCTCTTATATCCAATGCTTCTCTCTCCCCTTCTCTCATTCCTCTTCCCTCCTTTCCCCTCTCTCTAAAAAATAAAAAATAAATGGGAGAAAAAATCCTTGGGTGAGGATTAACAAAAAACAAAACAAAAACAACAACAAAGATGAGAAGTATATTGTCTCTGCCTGGAAAGGAGCTTATCCTGTATTGGGAAGAAAGACCTATAAACTGCTAAT